TTATATAAAACACTGACCTCCCATTGTTCATCGATTTTGCTCGAGCGGGCACCAGTAACATCTCACAACAAATTGTGAGACTTGTTGTTACTTTTTTTTTGGCATATCGAATACATCACAAGGAGCTTGCCAGGCTTTGCCGTGTGGTGAGATACTCTTGGTAGCTTGCTGGGCTCTCCGAGAGGGGTGGAGGAATCGAACCTAGGTCGGCCACAAGCAAGGCAAACGCCTTACCCGCTGTGCTATCGCTCCAGCCCATATATATATTATATATATATATATATAATCTTCACACTCTTTCCTCTAAGGAAACTTTTTTGGATCACTTTCAGCGGGTTATTCATAACAATAAATATAAAAGGAATCATTTTGGTTCTGCTTTGGGGCAGGGGTCAGGGTTCGGGATGGAAACATCCCAAATATGATGGTGGGAAGGTGTCATGGTGGTGGGATTGGTGTTTGAATATTAAATACAATCAAAGATTGTGAATTACTTTATATAAAATACCATAGCACTGTCCTCCCGTTGTTCATCGATTTGCTCGAGCGGGCACCAGTAACGTCTCCATGGTGAGACTTGTTGTGACTGTGTTTGGCATATGGAATACGTCACGGGGAGCTTGCCAGGCTCTGCCGTGTGGGCAGGATACTCTTGGTAGCTTGCCAGGCTCTCTGAGAGGGACGGAGGAATCGAACCCGGGTCGGCCACGTGCAAGGCACACAAACGCCCTACCCGCTGTGCTATCACTCCAGCCCACATAAAATACAATTAAAAAAATTAAATTAATTTTTTTTTAAAAGCACATGTCTGACATAGTTACTGCTCTCACTTCCTTTAAGGTCCGGCGCGGAAGAGAAACGCTCGGGGGCTTCTGAGTCCGTCCAGACCGTTTTCCACAGCGCCTACACCGCTGAACATTCCCACTTGCAGCAGTCAAGGGTTCCAAGTTATCCAGGCTGTTGCCAACGCTTGTCCCTTGCTGGGCCTCGGGGGACCCCACCTCACATTCAGGGTCTCTCCCTGAGCAACGCTCACGGGGCCAGATATGGTGAGGGGCTGGGGAAGGAGTTTCTTGACTTTTTGTTTGTTTGTTTTGGTCTTTTTGGGTCCCACCCGGCGATGCTCAGGGCTGACTCCTGGCTCTGCACTCAGGAATCACTCCTGCCGGTGCTCGGAGGACCCTTTGGGATGCTGGGGATTGGACTTGGGTCGGCCGCATGCAAGGCAAACGCCCTCCCCGCTGTGCTATCGCTCAGGCCCTGATTATTTTGAGCTGGGAACAAGGTGGTCATTTTCTCTTGCATGAACCTAACTCTACCTACTGTGTGTGTGTGTGTGTGTGTGTGTGTGTGTGTGTGTGTGATCCTGGTTCAGTGCTCAGGGATCACTCCTGGTGCTGCCCGGGGAACCCCCTGAGGTGTTGGGGGTTGAACCCAGTCCTCCCTCCATCAGGCCTGAGGCCGTCTCTCTCCAGTCCCCCTACTTGAAATTTTTTATTTTTTCCTTTTTGGGTCTCACCCGGTGATGCACAGGGCTGACTCCTGGCTCTGCGCTCAGGAATCACTCCTGGCAGTGCTCGGAGGACCCTATGGGATGCCGGGGATCGAACCCGGGTCGGCCATATGGCAGGCAAACGCCCTCCCCGCTGTGCTATGTCTCTGACCCCCAGCGGAAGGAGTCTGATTGAGGACCCAGGGTCCGAGGCTTCGTCGGGAGTGGGAAGCAGTTACTGAGTCAGCCCACCCACTGCAGGGCCCTCATGGGCCAATCGGTCATGAATCAGTGACTGTGCACAGCACCCCCGCCTCCGTCTTGGGTACCCCTAAATGAGTGACCTGTACAAGCCCAACAAAAGTCAAGTGTGTGCTGACAAGGCCAGGCTGAATGGCCGTACTATGTTCTCCACGCCAAGGCCAGTCCAGCACCACCCTCCCTTGGCGCTGGCATTGTGGCCCCACAAAGACTCACCCGGGGCCACACCCCCTCCCACCCGCCCCATGTGGGCTGGGAATGTGGCGCCAACCCGCCCGGGTCCCTTTGCTCCGG